GTGTATTAAAGGTTCTTTACAGTTGCAAACAGATATGGGAAAGCTGGAGGGTTTCATTGTTTTTAATTTCCACTAGCTCCTTGGTATCTCTGTCTCTGTCTCTGTCTCTCTCTCTCTCTCACACACACACACACACATCCACTTTTGACTCACCTGTTACAAAATCATCTTCGCCCATATTGTCAGAAAAGTCCAGGTCATCACTATCCATCTCTGTTGTCCTTTTTTTCTCTGTCGCCTTCCTGTATCTTCAGTTTAGTAGCATTGTGTGTTGTTGTCTCTTCTTCCTTCTCCTTCTCCTCCTCCTCCTCCTGAGTTTTTACATTGTCTCTCTTTCCTTCTTTCTACTTCTCAGTGTCACTAGCCATGTCTGACAGAGGGTTATGGGATATACAATCTTTCCAAGTTCTCATAAAGACATTAAGACTGCAATCCTATGTCAGCTTGCCTGTGAATAAGGCCCACTAAGCTCAACTCGGATAATTTTTGAGTAGAAACCCTAACAAATTGCACTTGAAATGGTTTCAGTGTATTTTGTGTGAATGGCTGCACTGGGCAAAAAGGCAGTATAAACATGCTTGGTGGAATTGTAGAGTTCACTGAAATACCAAATAAATAAATATATAAGTACACGCATCCCCAAAGCAAATGTAAGTAGGTAAAAAACTAAACAACTAATAAACCAGTCTAAGCATTCTCACTAATCAAGATATTGAATAGCAGTGTGAAAAGGAAATAAGGAAGGGAGAAATAGCCTTCCCTTTCTAAGAATATTCTACACTGATACTTTTTGTATGGGCCAGTCTCACTATACTTTTCAAAAATTGTAGTAAGAGTTGTAACAATTTTAAGACAACAGCCAGATGGCTCTTGAGCCAGTCTCACTGGAGTAATATTCAACTAGACTAATACTCAACTTCATCTCAGGATCATCTTCTGGTTTCCACCAATGCAACTTTCTTCTTGTACAGGTTCAGTCTACTAGCAGTTTGGTGACTCCCATGTTAATGGGGTAGTGAATCTGCTCTGGGTTTTAGTCTGATCTTAGTCTGATCTTTAAAGGAACTCTCCAAGGTGCTGAACCCATTCTGGGATCACTTGTATAGCTCACCCAGATTAGAGAGCTCCTCTATAAACTTCTGACTAAACTTTGCCACCAGTGGGCACTGATTATATCTCATGTTGAGTAGAAACCTGCAGCTACTATGTCTAGCACCCAACAAGGCATTGGCTGACTATCTAGATTACAAGCATTTAACTCTTCTAAAATGTGGGTTGACTTGAAGATGGCATATACTTGTCTGTCTAGATCACTGACTCTTGAGTCTCCTTTCACCTTATAAAATTGCATGATAACAAGCTAGGGCACAGGTGCAAATTTGGAAATAATGTTGTTGTTGTTGCTGTTTGCCTTCAAGTCATTTCTGACATATGGTGACCCTGGAGCTGAAAGTGTGTGACTCACCCAAGGTCAACTAGTGGCTTTCCATGACTGAAATGGCCAATAGAATGGTACTAGGTAGTCCTGCTCAGAGAGTCAAGCATGAGCATTAGCTTAAGGCCAATAACAGAGAAATGATTAAGAGAGGACAGATGACGGAGAACCAGGGGGTTTCCTCCATCCTGAAAAATCCATATGCACTCCGTAAGTCTAACCATTTTTTTTTACCACTTAACACCACTTTCACTGTCAGGACTCCATTCTACAGAATTCAGGGATTTATAGTTTAGTGAGAGACTTAGAATTCTCTGCTGCAGAGTTCCTCTAAACCACAGTCCAAGTGACAGAGGCATCCAATGATCAGGGTGACCTGAGGTGCTCCTTTTCCAGCACATGTACTCCATTTCAGCTTTCTGTCCAGGAGGAATTCCAAAATGTCCTCCATTTGAAGCAGGACCAAGAAGTATGCATTTCTATTTATATGAGTGTTTTCAGCTTGTATTTGGTAATGCCCTATAGTTTTATTTAATGCCCTACATTTTATGGTGCTTTGTCCTCCTTTGCGGTTAAGACATCTGGTCATCCTGACAATGATGCATGCTTAAATAGTTCAGGAAAGGGATTTTCAGGTATCTCCTGCCATGGAGGTAAGCAAAAGGAAGAACAGCTCCTTCTCATCCAGATGCCCATGGTTATGGGAAATGGGTCTGACCAAGATGGGTGTGAGAGTTGGTGACTTGTAGGGAGTGGAGGGGTTCCTGTTCTGGCATCTCCAGAAAGGGTCACTGAGCCCTGCACCTGCCTTTACAAGACTCTATCTTCACTTCCTGCATCACCCCAAGGGCATCATGACACCTTAAGTCCCTCCACCTCAAAGGCATCACAGCCACCATCTGCCCCTCCATAAACCCATTCTAAGACCATGCCCAACCCCAGGGCATCATCACCACCTCACACAGCCCCTCCATAAACCCATGTCCAACCCCTGGGTATCATGATCACTACCAGCCCCTCCATAAACCCTTCTTAAGGCTATGCCCAACTCTCAGGCATCATGACCACCACTAGCCCTCTATTAGCTCATCCTAAGACCATGCCCAACCTCCATAAGACCATCCTAAAACCATGCCCAACCTCAGGGATCATGGCCACCACTAGCCCCTCCATAAACCCATCCTAAGACGATGCCCAACCCCTGGGCATCATGACCACAACCAACCCCTCCATGAACTCATTCTAAGACCATGCCCAACTCCTGGACATCACCACCACCACCAGCCCCTTCATGAACCCATCCTAAGACCATGCCCAACCCCAGGGCATCATCACCACCTCATGCAGCCCCTCCACAGACCCATTCTAAGACCATGCCCAACACCAGGGCATCACCACCACCACCAGCTCCTCCATGAATCCATCCTAAGACCATGCCCAACCCCTGGACATCATCACCATCCCCAGAGCCTCCATGAACCAACCCCAGGGCATCATCACCACCGCATGCAGCCCCTCCACAGACCCATCCTAAGACCGTGTCCAACCCCTGGGTATCATGACCACCACCAGCCCCTTCATAAACCCATCCTAAGACCATGCCCAATTCCTGGGTATCATGGCTACCACCAGCCCCTCCATAAACCCATCCTCACTATACCCAGCCCCAGGGCATCATGGCATGACCACCTAAGACAGCCCCTGCCATAAACTCACACAAGAAGGCTTTCTCCCTCCAGGCTCAGCCCTTTCACTTCCTCAGGTCCCCAAATACCCCAAGGACACCCTTCTGCTCTCTGAAGCTCCTTCTCGTTGCAAGGGAGTCTGTTAAGGAAAGGACCTGGGGG